CACCTACGGCGTTTCTTTTGTTACGAATTGAGTTCTTGAAGAGTAATTTTATCACATCACATCACTCCAATCTGTAAACCAAACCATTTCTCGCTAGCATGCTTGCTTATTCCAGAACAATTTCTATCTTCTCCAGCCCTTTGAAGAAATCTCGTCGATACCCAAAGCCAATGCCTATTCTTTCGAAAGAACCTGTGTCATTCTGATGGCGCAGCAGAAGCATTCCATGTTCAGAGATGGCGAGACAGTGAACCTCCAATAACAGTCTCTCATTGACGTCCTTCGCGAGCCTGCAGTAGTCCAGTTCGGCGACAATCTCCTGCTTTCGCGCCTCATACACAACCAATTTGCCTGTGAGGCAATCGACAGCATGGACATCCTGGCCCGGGTTAGAACCAAAGCTGAACTTATTGACACCGTCCACGCAGACACAAATATCGCCCCACTCTCGAAGCTGTGATCCGGGGCTCCAAAGATTTCTTAGGAGCCCTCGAGCACGGACACGAACCAATTGCGCACCTTGAGCAACCGCTTCTGATGGCTCGACATGCAAACTTGAACCGTCGCCGAGTAACTCCAGCTCAGTCGACATCTCAAATTTGTGCCACATACAAGCCCCCAGGCCAATAGGAAGACTCGCCCAAGACCAGCTTGGGATTCCTGCCGTGCCTGGCCATCCTATGTCGAGCCCCGGTGGTCTTGAAACACGCCACAGGAGGTCCTGCGCAAATGTTGCCCGCCATAAACCTGCCATATACTCGTTGTCTCCGGAAACAGCAGTCAAATATCGCGTCGCTAGTCCCGCCAACGCATCGAATTTATCTGCCGGGTTACTCAGGCTCCGCGCCGTATATGACTCTACGACTGAGTTCCATGCAAGCCAGAGCTCCTCTGGTTCCGATATACGGCACTCGGCAAGAAATTTGCGTACATGAATGGTAGAAGTATCTAGAGAGACAGAAGAAGATGTCTGCTCGGCATACTCGCCACGCCCACAAGCCCAGCTGAATCGCTGACCACCCCAGAAAAGCAGTCGCGGCGACAAATGCTCCTCCTGAAGCGTCCATGCCCGAAGGAATAACGGAGCTCTTGATCGGAGACCAGCAGGCGCCGTAGGTTTCACGGTAAGCCAGGAGGTGCCGACGCGGCATGGCTTGATTTGATTTGACCACGCGAGACGCGGCGTTAGCAACGGCTGCGTGGCCTTAGCCGACATTGTCGCGCAAATGGTGACAGCGGCGTTACCATAGACTTCCTGCATACGGTGTATTTCCACCTTTTTATCTTGGACGTCATCCTGGATTATGCACAGCGAGTCAACCCAGAGGAAGCAAAGCTCAAGCTCGTTATCTGGGTCGCTCAATCGCCGGGTGATTTTGATAGCATCGCGTACTGTGCCTGGAAGATTTGCAGTGTCAAACGGTCGATATCGACTCTCCAAGTTGGCCCTCAGCGTTTTTCCCTGTTCGATTAGCTCGTTCTCATCACCACTGAACGTGCCAGTGCCCCAGCAGTAGCTCAGTGCCGTATAACGAAGGGCCTTGCCGTTCATCAAATTCTCGCTATCGACCAATTGCGCTCGTGAGTCAGAGAGGAGGTGAAGAAGCCGAGTGGGCATGCGGTCCGAATATGCGAGGTTGCCACAGTCAATGTGACACTTTTCACACACGCGGAGCCAATCTTTAATCTGCTGAAAGATTTTATCGTCCTCTGAATTCACCGAAAGCTTCATAGGAGGCTTCGGGTCCATCAGCGGTGCACAGCTGACCGTCGCCACCGGCATCGTGCTTTCTCCTTCTTCGTTGACGTGTATCTTTATCGCAAAGCCACCATCCTCATCAACCAACTTCGCGCAAACCGACCCTGACGAACGCCCCAACACAGCAGCATGGTCGGCAGTGACGCCTTCGAGAAGCAGCGCCTGACGAAAGATACGGCAAGTGACGCAGAGCTGAGCACACCTGTCGAGAGAGGCATAGTCTTCGTGAAAAACAACAGCTTTGGGTGGAAGAATGTTATGGCGCCTGTGGAAATCGAAAAGAGCCCGAATCTGTTTGCAGCCACGGCACTTTTGCTGTATGTCCAGATCGCCGAAGTCCTCAATAGTAGAAAAGCCGTCGTCTTTCTTCCGTGCTCGGAACAACCACGACATCATCCTTTGCGAGGTAAAAGTAACTTGGAAAGGTCGGTTCCGATTATCAAATCATTTTCCCTTGGACATTTGGTAGATCACGCGTAGTGCTCCCTGTAGCAGACGCGTGGCTTTATTGGCCCGCGGCAGTGTCAGGCCGACTTTCTTGGCTCGACGAATCGCATATTGAGACCTGATTCAGCTGTAAGACATTCGAGGTCAGCCATTCCTTCGCTTATGTACGTCCGCGCGTTCTTTATTCACAATCAGGCTGTTGGTTTTCGGGGCATTCACTGCATCCATACTCCAAAGACGGCGATCTAGCCCCAAATGTCCCAATATTGTGGCGCGAGGGAACCCTCATTTTTTTACTCATCACCTTTGCATCCCAGACGTGAGGAAGTATTTAAAAAGATCTACATGTTTGAGCAGATGCTTTTAACGTGCGTTGCACCATGATGAGATAAGGATCCGACAGCGTCTCTCTTCAATTCAATTCTTAAACAAGCGAAGATGAAGATGAAGAAGCTTACTTTGTGTGGTAGGTACGTATCGATGATGTCGCGGAGCTAGATTATGATGCAACATTATCCCATCGACTGCTACAAGGCGACAGTATATCCGAGTGCGGGGGAAGAATTAATTAAGCGTTATTCCGATTTATTTCTACTATATCCGCAAATTAAAAAATTCATATCTCGGAGAATTTAGAGAAAAGCTGGAGACCATTGTACTGTCGCCTTGTAGCAGTCGATGGGATACAATTCCCTTAACTATCACGGCCTTTCAACACCCTTCTGGCTCTTCAACTATCAGTAAACGGTTCTACATCAGCAAGCTGCTCTCGGTCAAACAACTCGGCAGCCCGAGCCTCTGAGGCATCTGCGCAGATTTTCCAGATATCTACTACCATGACAGCGACCGCGACAAATCTACGTAAGTTGGTCAGCCTGATCCAGATTATTGAGTGGGAGTCAGGTATTTCTTCACGTACGAAGCCACCCCGGCTACAACGCCGGCCGCCTTTTCGGGGCCAGTCGATCCATACTTGTGAAATGATAGGGCAAGAACCCAGTCTGCGGCGGCGAATCCCGCAGCAAATAAAGCGCTGATGAGGAGTGTGATGCGGCGGCTATTCAGACGACTCTCTTCGGTCATCAAGGTGTTTGGCCGTTGAGATGAAAAGATTGCGGACAAAATGAGCGTGTTCACGAAGAGTGAAAAACAGCTCTGAAAGTGCTCCAATGGTCAGCATACGGTCCGAAAAGATTCTGAATGGTGAGCTTTGCGAGGGGAGGGACCGAGAAACTCAACGCACTAGAGCAGAGGATCCCCATGGAATTGCGGGCGAAATCGGGTGATTGAACTCCAATGGCATTGATACAAAGGCCACGATGCCAGCCATCGTAAAAGCAAATTGGGTGAGGAGGTAGACTCCGTGAACGGTGAACCAGTGAAGTCTGATCATTACGAAGGCTTCGGATAATGAATTAAGGCAGTGTCGTTAACGGCCAACTTTTTCGTACCAGACGTAGAAGAAGCTGAACTTCCCAAGCTCGTCTTCTCCAATAGGTTGATCTTATGTATCTGACAGGAGGCCTCCATCGAAAGAGACATTTCTGAGCGTCTGCCTAAAGCCACACGACTAAAATAGGACCCCATACGCTTTCGTCTTCTCCTGAGACATCTTGTCGCCTTGCCGGCAGGTAGCATACTTTGTCTGTTACACCAACATTGTTCTTGAAAAAAACTGAGAAAGCCACCAAAAATGAGGTGGGCGAAGCTGCTAAGCCACTGAACGAGGCAGCATTTTTTCGACGCCTGCGCCACAAGCTGTGCCCGACATAAGCACGCAAGGCGGGATGGCAGGCGGGGCTTAGTGATGGCAGAAAATAAGAGCTCACGCAGAGGTAGACAGACCTGAATGACGCTTGGTTATGTATCTGAGCCAGGAGAGGCCTGTACTGATATAGATGCTTAATTTCCTTACCTTACTCGATTTACGGAATGGCAACGCACGCCTGATACCATAATGCCAAGAACAACTCTGAGTATCTTCTCTGTTTTGCTCAATGCGTTTTGAGATTTGCTGTCTTCATGGGCTACGTGGGTACCTTTCATTGGTTCGCTCAGAAGACACTGCTGCCTGAGTCATTATTGCATTTCCAGTGATGAGGAGACAGAAGAAAAATAGGAGGAGAAGATGGAAAACGCGTTCATCTATTAGTACTTCATCAGCAACTCCGCGTTCTCATGGTGAAGATCTGAACGCTGATAGATTTATGCACTTTGCAATTGCTTGTAGAGTCTAATGAGCTTAGAGCCTCTCAAAACAGCATTCCAGTGCTAGTCCGAGACCAGTGCGTATCGGCCTTACCCATCCGAATCTCCAGTACCGCGATTTCACATGGCTTGTCAATTCTGCGATGAAGAGAAGCGGGAGCGGCTAAGTACTGTGAAGTGGGGAAACCTCCGGCGGGGTATACGAAACGGCTGCTCTCGGTGCGTCTTCCTCGATCAATGTATCAGATTGGCTCCGATTGATGCGCAGCAAGTCTATAAAATCAGCATTCACCAAGACCATGCCTTCCGAGTCTATTGTATGGAGTCGTACGAAGATACAAGGGTCGATATATTCACTACAGATGGTAAATCGCTCCACACTAAACACTACGACCAGTGATTGTTAGCAGATGTCGGATATTGGGGAGATGGTCTACCATGCCATGATTTTCGTCTATGTTCACACGGCTGATCAATGATTTCATAGGCCAGGAAAAAAACCCGTTACAGTCAAAAAAGATTGCTGCTCACCTTCCAGGAAACACAAGCTCCGAGGCAACCTTTCGAACAATCAAAGGTTGGCTTAATGAGTGTATTTCAAGTCACAAGTGTTGTTATGAAAGTGGCAAGCACGGGCATGATCAACGAGCTTCACCGAAGAGACTTCTCCAGATCAGCGAGAATCAAGTTATTCTGCGGGAGAACGTTGGGCAGCAGCGTTATGTATGCCTGAGATATTGTTGGGGTGAAAGCGCCCAAATCACCAAAACCACCAAAGAGACAAGCAAATATCACCAGAGAAACATACCTTGGCATCAACTTGATGCAACATTCCAGGATGCAATCACAGTCTGTCGTCGTCTAGACGTCTCGTATTTGTGGATTGATTCATTGTGCATTTTGCAAGATTCCGTAGCAGATTGGACGGAACAGGCTGCGCAAATGGCCAATATTTATGCAAACGCATATCTCACAATCGCAGCAACAAATTCTAGCGACGCGTCTGGTGGTTGTTTCAGAAAAACAAGTGACAAGTACGTCTCAAAACTCTCTCCAGGGTACAAAGATACATATGTTCGCCATGAACTTCCTGAGTTTCCACTTATGTCGAGGGAGCATCAAATAAGAGAAAGCCCAGACTGGCCACTTTTGAGTCGTGGATGGGCCTACCAGGAAATGCGACTTTCACGGCGGGTACTGCACTTCTGTGCCCAGGAAGTGGTATGGGTTTGCCGGGTTTCACAGAAAAGCGAGAGCGTGGACAACGACCAAGATTTTACTTCCGAAGATGAATGGAGCGGGAGGGCATATCCCTATGTTCCATATGGTATCCTTGAGAAAAACCCACAATCTCTGTGGTATCGGACAGCAAATGAATACTCAAGGCTTCGACTCAGCAAGGAGCAGGACAAGATGGCTGCCCTATCTGGGCTGGCGGAACAAATGCAATCTCTACGGCCCCCCGAGGATCGATACCTGGTTGGCTTGTGGGAGAAGACTTTACTTTCTGATCTTCTCTGGACGCAGGGATGGAGCTACACGGCTCCAAACTCACGAATCTCCCGCTATCCGTCCTGGTCCTGGGCCTCATCACCATACCAAGTCGAATGGTCAAGGGATTTCAACATATCACTGAAGTGTACGCAAGTCGAGGCAACCAAAGTTACCACCCGAGGTCCGAGTCACATGGCCAACTGCATAGAGGCGACGATCACATTGAAGGCTCCCCTTCTAGACGCAACCCCTTTGCTTACCGCTGCTCAAGCTCATATTGCCGCATCCCGGGTTTCAGGCGATTACGAATCTTCTTCGCCATTTGGTAACTTGTATCCTGATCCGTACGACGCCTTTATCACAAATCTGGATCACTTATATGTCCATTATTACAGTTCGGACAGCGGTTCTTATATCACGGATATCACTCCCGCAGAAACTTCTGGCTGCTTCATTCTTCTAGCCACGAGCAACCGTTCCTTGCTCGACCTTAATGCTATCCATGTTCAGAAAGAACAAAGCAGCGATTGTTACAGGCGAGTCGGTTTGGCTAGCTTAAGGCATCCAGCAGCAAGGAACAAATATCCAAAGAATGCTTCCACCGTAAGATGGCTGATAGAAGATCTACCGACACAAAGCATCACCTTGATCTAGGCAAAAGCGCGCAATCAGGAAAGTCTGAGGGCTACTAAGGTTTCAGATATTTACTCACTAATACGTAGCTACTCATCATCAAATGTCTACATGTTGTTAGATATCTACTTGTTCTTAATATCTGCTTGTAAGTAACTACAGGCTGTTCCGATACTGAGTAACAACCGGAGCTCAAGTCGCTCACGCGGCGGCAGCTCCACTGGCTTCTGTCAGCTAGGTCCGGCCATAGGGACTTCGCTGCATACCACCGTCTGTACCATCATGCGGATACGAACCTCCGCTACTCGTGTAGAAGGGAGAAGATACCTAACCACGTCTACTATTATTAACTAATTATACGCAGGGGCACGCTATAGTTTACTTATACTAAGTTCGTCCGGGGCTAGCTTAGTAAAAAGTAGTCTATATATATTATAATACTATAGAGCTCCCGGTTCTATACTAATATCTACTTAAAATAACTTAATAATAAGGATCTAAACCCCTACTCCTATATATATATATTAAAATCGAGCTAATACTTACGGGACTAGCTATAGTAATACTAGACCCGTATTTATTACTAAATAATACGGCTATAATAGAGGTCTCGGGGTGCCCCCCTCGGCCCTTATATTAGTAAATTAACGTAATAAGACGTACTATATAGTTCGCTTCTTAACTAACTATTTAAAAAAGTCCTTTTTAAACTAAATCCACCTATATAAATAGGTTTATTAATATAGTAATTAGCTCCCCTAGCGGATATTAATCTTATAAAATAAGTATATTAATACGGCTCGTTCGAACAGGATATATAATAAGCTATGTATACTAATAGCCTTATAAAGCTTACGTTTATTACGTTTACTTATAGTATTATTATACTATAATACTAATATTAATATTACTTACTTATATTATATTATACTATATTTCTATTTACGTATTTTATAACTATATATTATTTTCCTTAACTTATTAAAAAAATACGACTTCTTACTTTAAATAGTAATACTTATTATAATATAATAAGGGTCTCTTTATAAATATATAGAATACTACTTAGCTTATTTTTTATATTACTAACGTAGTACTTAAACCTCGCTAAGCATAATTACTTTAAATTATAAAATATTACGGGGGGCTATATATAAATAAAAGGGTTAAATCTTAGATTATATATTATACTATTTTATAAAAGGGTATTATATAAATTCTACTGGGTACTATATACGGTTATATAATTTTAGCATAATATAATTACTTTTTACCTTATTTAAGGATATTACGGTATAAAATAGGATAAATAAACAAAACAAAATACTAAGTGACAAGGATTGCATAATTTAATGGCTCATCAATGCTTTATCATTCAACTTTACCATTTATATTAAAGATTAGGAGGGGGGGGGGGGGGAGAGGGTAAACCCTCTGTAACAATTAAGTAATAATTATTCGATAACTATTCTTGCAGTCTCTATCCTGTATCACAGCCGATACTTATAATAACTCGAGGTTTAGAGCTATAGTCTGACTAAAAAAGGCCTTAAATAGGAATGAAACACCCATGAACGGAGCTTTGATTGAGGTTAAACCTAGACTCCCCTTTACCAATCTCTTCCTCTCCCTCTTCTTCCTCCTCCTTTAACGACACCAGCCCAAATAACCCGCCGCCATCTATTAGACTCAACCACATCACCCTGAAATTCGCTTCTCTCAACGATCTAGCCCATATGTACCACGCCGCCAAAGCGGGTGGGGTGGAACCGCACCTCTGCCTTAATCACGGGGTGACGGCGAGCTTGTACTACAAACTACAAGGATCCAAATGGGAACCAGATTGAGACCATGATTGGGAACTATGACAACCTCGAAGATGTGTGGAAGCATATGAATAGCTTGGATCCATTAAATACACTAGTTGTTAAATTTGATCCGGAAGAATTGTTGCGACTCTAAGGTTACGAAGAATGTGGCACAGCCGAACACGAGCAGGCGAGCTCGGGGCAGAAGACGAAACCCCAAGACTCCTAAGCGAGTCTCGAGGTCGACAAATTACTTTCAAGGATGAAAGAGATCGCAAATTCTTCGTACAAGTATTACTATTTACTATGATTATGAAGAGCAGCAGCGCTGCCAGGGTACTTCCACGATTACTCTATCCACCGTGATATACAAGAGCACCAACTATGTATGCTGTGGAAGCAGTGTGTGCAGGCAGACTTAAGTGCTTGCGTCTATGTCCATGGTATAGTATAAGGCCGTTTCCATACGGGTAAAACCGTCAATGCTACCTCCGTCATCTCAATCGCAAAAAATCAAATGTCTTGACTCCATTTGTCCATGTATAATGCAAGCTTTTAATAACAAACACCTCTTCATCGTTTTCACAACCCTCGCATGCCTAGACACCGGTAGAATTTTACCAGTTGCAGAACATGAAGTAGTGGTTGATAAACAGGTTGTAGACGTTGATGATGATCAGTGGTAAGGGGTGATACCAGGTGAAGCCAGTGACAAGACGCCATGTGACGACACCGACCATGGCACCAGTGACAATTAGGGTCCAGATGATGCAAAGAACGCGCATGTTGCGATACTTGTTGCTCTTGTGGGCCTTGGAGTCGCCAGAGGCAGCCCAGAGAAGCTCAATGTTGAAGAGACGATCCTTGATAGCGGTGAGGTAGGCGTAGCTCTGGACCGTCATGGCATGCTGCACGTTGAAGCCATATTTGGCCTTAGCCCAGCAACGCATGAGGATCACACCATATAGGATCGAAGGGATAGCAAAAGCCAGGTTCCAGAACTTGAACCATTCCGGGCGGATAGCAAGGAGAAGAGTGCCGGCAATAGGGGCAAGGAAGATGTTGAGTGAAACTGCAGCGTAGTACAAGAAGCCTGTATTTGGTTAGATGGGCGAATGGTCGCTGTATCGCTGTGAAGTAGAAGTACAAACCTGACAGATAACAGATCTTTTGCATGAGGGTGAGATTCGAGACCCAGAAGTGGCCGTTTGTAAGAAGAGTCGTTGAACCACGAGCCCATCGCATCTGCTGGGAGAAGAAGGCGCGAGGAGAGTTGGGGCAAACACCGGTGGCGAGGCAGAGAGGGATGTACTTGACCTTCCAGCCGCGGTCAACCGCACCAAAACTGTGAAATATTAGTCAATGGTCTTGCAAGTTGGTTGGATCAAACCTACCCAGTGTGAACATCCTCGGAGAAGCCAATTTCGGCCGTTCCACCGACCTCGACAAGAGACTCACGACGGTAGAGAGCATTGCTACCAACGCAGATTGAGGCTCCCCATCTGTTACGATTGACCTGCACGACACGGTAGAACAATTCCTGAGTGGCACCCGCACCCTGCTCAACCCAAGTTTGGTCGTCAGTGACGCGGAAGTACTGAGGGCTCTGAACAAGGGCCGTCTTATCATCGCCCAAGTGCTCAACCATCAATTCCTTAACAAAGTCAGGGCGTGGGCAGAAGTCAGCATCGAAAATGGCAAAGAACTGTCCGCTGGTCTGTGCAAAGGTCCATCGCAGGTTGCCAGCCTTTCGGAGACGGGGCCGGTCATCGCGGACGGAGTAGTTGAAGCCATATTTCTCAGCGAGAAGTCGAACCGGTTCCGAGTTGCCGTCGTCCATGACGTGAACCTGGAGCTTGGACGCAGGCCAATCAATATTGACAATGTGCTTATATGTGTTTTCCAGAATTTCGATGGGCTCGGAACAGCAGGGGAGGTAGATATCGACAGTCGGGGCGTTGTCTTCGGTAATAGGGAAGCGCTCAACCAAATCCAAGTGAGCCTTGTAATCCCAGTCTCGTCCAATGATTCCGACGGCGTAGGAGATCAACAAGTAGATGCACATTGCTCCCGCGAAGACGCCATACCAATAGAATGCCGGGGCAGAGAGCGCGAACAGCCACATTCCGGCGCCGAGCGAGAGGAAAGAGAAGACGCCAAAGATGTAGAGAAGCAGTCGGTTGGTGTGAACGTAGCTGAGCTTCTCGGTGTCGTTCGGGCATACGGGCAAGACCAAAGGCGGCTCTTCCTTGGGGCAGTAGGTTGCGCGGAAACGCCCGTAAAGTCTCTTGGGAAAAGACTCGCCTGATGAGGGTGGAAGTGCGGTCGTGTGCGTCTCCTTTGCCTTCTCGGGGTCCGAAATAACAGGCGGAACATGGCTAGCTTCAACGTCCGTCTCAGAAGAGGATTGATGATGGCCCTTTTCATTATAGACTGGAACTTCTCTGCCCAGCGGCGAGGGCTCCTGGTACCTGTCAGTTGGGCTTGAAGAAACAGATGTTGAGCAACCTACGATATCGGGTCTGCTTAGACGGTGGTGAGAGGAGTCGGCCCAGCTCGATCTCTGACCTGATCTGTCTGTGGTGTCGTACGGATGTGTTTGCCCAACAGCGTTCTGAGATATGTCAGTCCCTTTTCCTTCAGGCCGGAAGCCATCGCCAGTGGCACTTCATGGAAACGTACCACAGTAAAAGTCGAGTCACTGGCGAGGGAGGGGGCCGCGCTCGAATCGTTGTCGGTGTCGAACGGGTTAGAACCGAACGGATTAGTCGGGGGCGTCAGGCTCGAGTCGGGAGAAGCTCCCCGTGTTGTGTAAGGAGGCGACATTGTGGTATCAGGTTCCCATAAAGCGACACGAGCTACTTTCACACAAGATTACTATGTGTGGAGGAGATCGAGAGTCGGCTCGGGCTGGCAGTATAGCGAGTGCGCGGAAGGGGTGGTGAGGCAAACGAAGATGGCTTCAAGTGTCGATGTACTCCCATTAGGTTCCTCGAAGTAGACGGCAGAGTCTCTCAGCACCGAACGCGGGTGAGTGTGTGACAAGAGCTCGAAGCTGGAAGAAAGAGAGAGCAGCGAAAGTCGTCAAAGCGAGTGACTGAAAATTGAAAGTAGACCAGCCTCGTGGAGTTGAACTAGCGAGCGGGCGAGGCGGCGAGAGTAGCGCGATGATGGCAGCGGAGGACTAGGAGCCAACGTCTAGCTTCTAGGTGCAACGAGCGGGACGGAGGGAGGAAAGGTTTTGTTCAAGGTAAGCCACACAGACGGCGGAATGACGGAGGAGAAGGTGTAGGGTTCCTTAGGAGAGGCGAGGTAAGGTGAGGTGGAGGGGAAGACAGGCAGTAACCGGGATTGGATGTGGTGAGAGCCCAAGGTGAAGCCGAGATAGGATGGGGCTGGTGAATGTAGCGGACCCAAACAGGCAGGTTCACCACAGCGTGGAGAGAGGAAGGTGCGGCTACCTTACGGCATGCGTATAGCCCAGACGGACACGCGAGCATACGAGAAACAGGAATAAACGGCCTGGAGAAAAGGCAGAGGAAGACAAGACGAGCCGTAGTAGCAGGCCACTTCAGGCCAAGCAGGAGTAAACACACCGTCTTGCTCCCTCCTGCAAGGATGTGTATACAGTATCACGGCCACGGAATGAGGCACGAATACGTACGGCATGGTGGTATTCCATAGGTAAGTACCTCATTGCTAGGCTGGGCTGGGCTGGGCTGCTCCGGGCTTGCTTTCAAGATGACCATGTTTATTCGTTGAATAATACCCAGGTCGTAGGTACCTTCTACAAAATCGACAAGGACACTTCTCTGCCCCTGCCATGAATATCCCCGCGAGTCGCCAGCCCACCAGTGGCTAATGTGTGGGCAAGTGAAAGAGATCGTGGCAGGGATATAGCGACCATTGGACCGTTTGGCGGTTACAAGGGCCGGTTCACTGCGGGTATGTCTCTCATGTCTGCATGCGCTTAGCTGCCTGGTTACGGATTGTGTTGACTCCCGTCGCTTGCAAATCATGGCAATGGCCCGGTGGGAGAGATGTTGTGACATCACCGCTGGGAAAGAGTCAGAATACCTACTGGCCTTAGCAGGTGCCATTGCAGTTGGACCCAATATCTCAGATTAAGGCATGTCAGCGTAGCAGCGTGCTACGGCTAGCTCAAGGCTAATGACCGTAGGTTGCTGTCCATGGCCGAAATCTGCATAGAAGGTTGACAGTCGCCGCAGACTGCAGGTGAACCGCGAAGCCCTGGGGGAAATAACCTGGCTTCAGGATTTCCACATGGCTACGGAGTCAAGTACCGGTACAATAAATCGTGTGGGGGTATGAAGGCAGGGGGCTGGGCCAAAGGAAATCAGCCGGGAAGAGAAGCTGGGCAAAAAGTGACAAACGGAGCGGAGAGAAATCATGACTTGGATCCAAGAGTCAGGAAAGCACGAAGAATGAGAAGAGCATGGGAAACATAATCTGATGCCACGCCGGAGTGGAGTGGGGCCGGTCGGAGTGGACTCCGTACATGATTGGGCAATGCAGCCTGTAAATATCAATGAGGGAAACATTCGCCTGCCAGTTTAGAGAGCAAGATACCTTGCTCCGTACAGAGTACCCATGGAAGCAAAGAAGGCGTCAGATAATAGCCATGTCCCAGATGGCAGTTCCAGAGGAAGGATACAAAAGATGAAAGCAGGGCTGTGGGAAATAAGGTAGGTGTCCCGTGCCTGCCATCCATAGTATGGCAAACCGCAAAGCAGGTGGCAGGTGGGCAGGCAGGCGGGAGTCGCGGGAGAGACAGGGTGGGCAAGAAAGGAAAAGCCACCTGCATCATCAAACGTGGGCCTATTTCCCGGTTTGCCTGTTGCATTTGCGGCGTTTTGGACTGACAATTCAGGGCAGTTACTCGGAAGATTCTTGCAAGCGCAAACACCAGAGGACAAGGCGAGGATGGATGGACATTGAAAAAAGCCCATGGGCCTGGGAAAGAGCCGCCAAGACGTTACCTACCTTATCGGCAAGTGCAACGGAACCATGAGCTGACT